GCTGGATCATATGCTACAGTCATTAAAAGAGATTTTTAGATTTAAATTTGATTCAGATGTAGCCCCCTTTAAGAACCTCAATATTTTTAGAAATCAGGATTTTATCATGGCTGTAGCCATCAGTCTGATATTATTTTTTAAAAAGCTGTTCTTTTCTACTTTCTCATTGTAACACACACAAATAGATGATTCTACCACTTCATCTCCTACCACTTCAACTGTACAGAGGAATTAAAGATAAGTACGGGTTATTCAGTAAAACATTTTTTTCATCAAATAAGAAAAATGTCTTCTATACACTGAAGGTGGATTATAATTTATCAGATTCAGTAACTGTTATATCTGCATTTTCAGGAAGCTTTGCGGCATTGGAAAAGAATGCTGTTTTGACTGAAATAATACATAGCCAGTTAGTGATAGAAAAGTGCTGGAGATAACAATGTGGGTATTGTTATTATGGGGTTCTTCAATGCTAGAGCAACATGAAAGGAGTTTTACTGGGTATCTTACTCATGCATGATGTATGTTTCACTCCATAGCATGTCTGTCCCTCACTACGATGAGCGCAAAATTCACCACATGAACGCCTACTTCATGTAAAATCTCTTATCTAATTCTGGATCTGTTCTCCACTAGATCAAACATATTTAAACCACCTGTATAATTAACAAACAGACAATATCTTTGGAATAAAGAAAATAATGAATCTGATTAATTTTGTAGTATAGTGTAGCTAACGATAAACAGCCAATCAATTGACACATGAATAAGCTTGGTTGTAAATGCTGTGAGTTTTACATTTCCTGTTTATCTTTCAAATATGCATATTTACTTATTAAATTGAACACATTTGAAATGGTAGTTATCCTTTTGACTATCATTTGCTGCCACATTTTACTGACTATTGAAAAATGATTATTACTACTCATTGGTATTAATGGGTAATAAAAGGCCTATATTCTTAGAACAAGTTTTTCAGATGAAAAGCAGTATTGCACCAGTTACTATCACAGTTGGCATCTGTCCCATCTGATGACTGTCTTATTGAATGATTCCAAATATTTTACATATATATAGGATAACCCCAAACAGGCTTAAAAGTATTCAGTCCCATCATTGCTTCACAGGATTTTGCTGTAAAGTGCAGCTTTGTCTGTGTCTTTGTACGCATTCTATTTGATTGTCCAGACCTGAATAGGTTTCCAGACACCATATAGAATTTTATGCAACTAAATTATTCTATTAAAAAGGAAACATTTGATTTGAACCATTTTCTTGGCTATTCAAATATATACACGGTCAAAACTCAAGACAGGTGCATTCGGGACCCACGAACAATAAAAGTAGGTAGAGCGATAAAAGTAGAAGCTTGAGAAAGAGTCGACAAAATGCAGGGAATGGTGCGTGGCATGAAGGGACCCGAGAAGCAGGGCAATAGCTCAACGCCAGAGCAAGGAGGAAGAATAGAAAACCCTTTGCGTTTAATCATTAAGTCCAGTGAAAAGAACTAACAAGTGTAGTACTTGGCTTTCATATATCAAAGATTTCATAAATTGTACACGTGTTCTGAATTTGTGTTCTTTTTAACTTGTATCTGATTATCACTAATATAAAAATGAGCAAATTTTAATATCACGTTGAATAGATTGAATCTGAACATTGTTTTCTTTTAATTATCTGTTGCTTATACAGTATATATAGCAACTATTTTGGTCAGACACCAGATTCAAAAGGTTTTTTAAAATAAACATAACACAACCTTTTGATCACTAGCATACAAGAAGACAAATTGTATGTGATTAACTTAGAATTTGGGTTGTGCTCTTTCAGGCAAAGCAGACTGTGTACACAAGGAGCCTTCAGTCTGTTGACATACCCTACCGTTTGCCTAAGTTACCGTCTGGGTCAGGCTATCTTAAATTTGTAGTCAAAACAGCAGCTTGCCATCTGCAAAGTGACACACAAGCTCTTCCCTCTTATCTCTCTTGGCTGTATGTTAATCAGGACTGCTTAGTGCTCACCTCATCTCGGTGTTATTATGCAGCTGCTGACCCTCTCTGACAGAGGCAGCCTCCAGTCAATATTCAGCAAAGGTTGATGAGAAAGGACAAACGTCGAAGGGTTAAGGGGGGGGCGGGGGGGGGGGGGGTGGTGACTTAGTAAAAGTGAACAGCAAGATTGCTCGTCACCAGATGAGTTAAATATAAGATAGCAGTTTTATTCGTAATCGAAAAAAAATTAACAAGGCAAGAGAAAATTATTCTCACTGAGCGCAAGCGTGCAATTCAATGACAAAGATAGAAGAAAGTAATAAAAGGTATAATATGATGTTTAATTTTTTCTAGTAAATTTTGCTATCATATACCATGGACAAGTCCTTTATAGCATAAGGCCGCTTTTACACCATGTTCAAAAGGTAATAATAAATGACTTTACTGTTTGAAGTAGCATAACTAGTAAACTCTCCATTTGAAGATGGTGAGTTAAGAGACCCATTCATTTGCAGAGTCACTTTAAGTGAGTTTCAGCAGTTTTCACTTACACAATTTACCGTTCAAGATCCCTGGTCCTAACTTTTAAAGCCCTCCATGAACTTGCTCCCCCCTAACTCTGCGACCTCCCAACCTCCTACCAACCTGCCCGCTCCCTCCGCTCAGCGGGCCCCGGCCTGCTTCATGTCCCCGAGCTCACCCGGTCCACCATTGGCAGGCAGACCTTCCACCACTCTGCCCCCATCCTGTGGAACTCCATCCCGCAGTCCCTCGCCCACTCCCTTGCCTCATTCAAGACCCGTCTCAAAACCCTCCTCTTCAACCGTGCCTTCAGTTACCCTCCATCCCCCCCTGCCCTCCAACCTCCCCGATCCTGACCCCCAGCTCGGGTCCAAAACACTGATTGTCCGGCGCCTTGAGACGTCCTCCCGACGTGAAAAGCGCTATACAAGTGTCATTTTGGTTTGTTTGTTTGTTGTTTACAAGCAACAGAAAAGGATTTTCAGTGAATCAAGTTTGGGTTGAATTCAAACCAGGGTCTCACTCAAAGTGCAAAGTGGTCACTAACAGGCCCACGCAGTCTCCAGGGCAATAATCTATTTTACAAAACAAAATCCTGTGTTTACGTTTAAGCATGAACTTGGGTGGAGATTGTAGATCAGCCTTGTTTGTCCTCTTGCCATAAGATACGGTTGGTGAATAGCTAAAGTTTGAACTTCACTTACATTTCTCATTGAAACCAAGAAAAAAAGATGTCCAAGTAAGATTTTCACCGCAGTGGCTAAACAACTTTACAGTAAAACAATAGCTTTTGGAGCAACTGCTTTCAAAAAGGATTAAGAAAACCTAAAAGCTCTTCATTCTCCTAACAAAAAAATAGGAAAACATTCATCCCCATTAATAGCTCTCTTAGCCACTTGATGTTTTTGATATCTCTTGAAATGTCCAGTATCTGCTGCTTTATCCATACTTTTCAAGTTCACTGTCCTTTTAATTTTTTTTAAAAAGAAAAATAATATTTGTAGTGACTAAATCTCAAAATAGACTTCACCATAACATGACCAGCTTTTCTGAAGATTTCGTCTGACAAATGCTGTATGCTACAAGTTCATATTGAGTATTTGTGCACATATTCTGTTTAATGTTTGAAGTTTAAAACATCTGTACTTTTGCACAAGAATGTTGAAAGAAACAAACAGCGTGGAGAAGCTGATCATAGTGGGATCAGTTGTGGTATTTTCATCTGTGTCCCATTTTACATTCAGTGGCTGTTTTATGCACCAACCTACATGATGTTCCCTTAACAATTGTGTGTGTGTGTGTGTGTGTGTGTTGTATTGTGTGTGTTGGTAGTGTATGCCTCCTTTGTTTCTAATCTTACATAAAATCAATCATTGCATTTTTTAAAAACATTCTATCAGTTCCTAGGTGATTTTTCTCACAGACACACTCTCCACATACCCAGTGTAATACAACACCTTCATGGAATGTTAGTCAATGCTTCGATACTAAATCTTTATCAGCGCTATTCACGACTGTCTAATTTTTTAAATAAAATTTAAAAAAACAGTACAATTTGATAGCTTATTCCATTAGCAACTATCCCGTGCATGTTGCCGATTCTATGGTTTACCTTTTTTGTCTTTAGAAATGCAATGTGCAAAAAGTGTCATGACAGAATTGAAAACACATACATGAATTTAAAGCAGTGTGTGAGGCTGTCATTGCTGAAACAGTTAATGGCATCAGTATGACATTGTCACAGCACACCCATCCCTGCAAATGAAATGGCTGAAAACAAGCTGAAATAGTGACACGATGTACAAACGAAAATATGTTGCTTCTGGAGAAAAAATTTCCACCAAAATGCCACCCAAAAAACAGTTTAAGGGTTAATAGAAGACTTGTGCCTTTGTCCTTTTACTTTCAGGCCTTGCCTTTTTTATTCTTCTCTGATTTAAGACTTCCACTCGCTACACTGACAGTAAGGTATTTCTCGCCAGCAGATTATAAGTCACTCTGGGCTATTATTCAAGTACAAAGTCCTGGCCTCTCTGCATTTAGACCAAATATAATATCCTTCATGCATACATTATCTGTCTTCCTATTATCTGGTATCATTTCTGAATTAAATTTCAGCGATGTAATATTGGCTTGAAGAGAGAATTTTTTTATAGGCTAGTCAAAGGTTAAAATACCAATCAAAATAACACTGCATATGCACCAAGACATTTTAATATTCCTAAACCCTGTGATTGTAAGGACATAATATTTTTTCCTGATTACCCCAAAGGCAACACATGCTTACAAGACAGCCACGGCAGAGAGAAACTTCAGAGTTCAGATGGTACATAATATCCTATTTAGCAGTGACACAACATGAGGATCCCAACACCACAATCAAACCAGGCTTAGAGCCATCAACTACTCATTTCAATGCAAATGGGATTGGCTATTAACCACCTCTAACACCTCATCCTTGAAAACGGCGACTGCTACTCAAAGTACCTTTTTGAGATTAATCCACTTCTTGAAGTAATCAGGAACCGGCAGCTTTAAGTACTGGCATTGTCCTGGCAGCCTAAGAAAAAGGAGAAAATAAGTTTGATTCTATTACTGAGGCACCAACAATACAATCCTTTTTATTAAGCTCTTCTGGTAGCTGTAAGGACTGTGTGTGTAAAAAAAGATTATGGAGATAACTTCGTGTCTAGCTGTCAGTGCACAGTTAAAGAGCTACTGAATGGGAAAACTTTCACATATTACGGTGTCTTCCAAACCGCACAGAAATAACTCACATTATTTTAATATAAGGTGAACAAAGCGACCGCTTACACACTATAATAAAAGCAGTGGCATTAGATTGGAATATGCATTTGTTTGAACTCAAGACGTTGCTGGTGCATTTCTTACCATTTTCCCAAGTATACAGATCTAATGATGGCACTCTTACACTGTGAAAAAATAAACCTGGCAGCTCTCGCATTTTCGAAAGCCACAACAAAACACTCATGTACAGGAAAGCTATTAAAAATACATTGCAATTGTAATGCTGTGTTTTATGAATCAAATATATTTCTGAGATAGGAGCACGGTTACAGGTTACATTCTTTGATGTATGACTTTTTAAAATATAGTTTTGGCACAATATTGCAGTTGAATCCTAATAAATGCATAACAAGCTCGTTGAAAGGATGAAGTCTTGAATTTGGTACATTTTTGACAGGAGCTAAAGTGAATTTACAAGGTTGTAGAGCCTGCAGCTACAAATACAAGCTTAAAGTAGGAGTGCTACTTGGGTGTTTTGTAGAACAGTTAACATTCATAACCTCAACAAGAATGAAGACCTCCCAGGAAATTGTAAATGAATAATTATGTCGGAATGGTGGGGAGTGGGGGGCGCGGGGGGAGTCATTTTGATATTTTAAACTGTTTACTTTTGTCATTTGAACCCAGATATTAGATCAGTGTTTTATATTTTGTGTTTAATATATATATAGGAGATATACAGTAGTAAATTTACTATTTTTCAAACCATGGCAATGCCGTGTTTCTATTGCCATTTGTCTTAGGCATATTAAAACTGTATTAAGTTATTTTTATGATGAATTAAAAGAATATTCACTATCATGTATGCATTATAAATATTTTCAGGCACTTTTAACTCATAGCTTAAGCTGTAAAATAAGACTGGCATGGAAGCTTTGCTACTGAGGTGATGACTATAAAGTCTCACGTGCCGTTATGTTTGAGCCATTCGGGGAGAAAAAAATTATGCTTGGATCAAGGTTTCTACAGACCATTTATAAAAACATGATCGATCTGTAATATTTGTAGTACCTTAGCCCATTTGGTCACTCATGCTGCAACTGAGTCTAAATTAAAACACTTCATTATACAAAATATGATATTTTACAAGAAGCTGCAACTGTACAAAAGATGACAGACATCTTCTCAACTGACAAAATTCAGTGCGCTGAAAAATGAAAACATGAATAATTGGGCACCATGTTATGCTTGGACATCCAAGTGTTATGCCTGGATCAGGAATTCTATGTAATAGGGGTGAATGGGAGGTGATCCGGTCCATTGGAATTCTATGCTTAGATAAGGTATGAATTTATCTAGAGTCAGCTATATGCAGTGAATTCCTCTTAGGAACAAATAGGATTTCCCTAATTTCAGCTGCAGAAAAGTAAATGCAAATGTGGATAAAATAAATGATGGCACCGAAATTAAAATAGGAGGTAATTCCTAGATCATTCTTGTTTTAAAAATCAAATATTTATATTCACACAGTTAACAAAGGAAAATCCACTTTAATTTTAGAACAATGCATTGGAAATAAGAAAAAAATATATACTGAATTTAGGTAACGGAGAGGGGATTTTGAATTAACACATTCTTGTGAGAATAAATATGCTGTTTTTGCTGCAAATACAAACCTATATTTAAAGAAATTTAGACCAATTCTATTTAAAACAATGTTAAACTTTGTATTGCTTGTGTGGAAAACAATATTGAGCATCGTTATGATATTCTGTTGGATATTAGAATTCCGTAGTTGTCTCAGAACGAGAGGGATCATTCAATGGCCTTCAGGCACTTATACTACAGTACAAGAAATGTAATGCGAGAATATATAAAATATAAAAATAAATCCATTTAGGAGCAGAAATTTAATAATAAAATGTTGCTAATAAACAAATACAGTATCAGGCATTCTATCTTTAAACTATACATAATGTCATGGCCATTTCCATCTAATCCTCTTTGGGTAACATCTCATTCATAAAAATTAACCCTAGTTATGTGACAGATTACCAGAATAATCCTGATAGGTTTGGTGTCATACAACTCTTGCTATAAGGCACGTCAATTTCAAATTAACACAGTTTTTACACAGTGTATATTATACTAACGCTAAACTAGTTTCCAAGGGGTTGTGAACCAGCTCTGAACATTGGGATCATTTCTAAAGAGAATGGAAAATTACTTCACAGGTTACAGTCATGTCATACCACAACCACTTTTTCTCAAACGAGATTTTAAATTACCTCAAGAAAATATTGCGTTAACGTATCCCTACAGACCCAAGATTAATCATTCTTGGGTATGACTTTATACTCAAGAGACCTTCTCATTTTTCTTTTTAAAAAGAGAGAGCCTTACATAAACATCAACCAGCCAAGAGCTCAATTTCAACAACCGGAAGAATAGGAAATCATGTCTTCTTCCATTGCTAACGTAAATGTTTGCCAAATACATCGAATTTTAGAGTTGAACAATCTTCATAAGTTTAATTAAATCATGCAAACTACCTTTCAAGGTTTCTAAAAAGGATACTAATCTCTGACAATGGTTGTAATCATATGTACATTTAAATATGGGAAATAAGTATGTTTGTTTAAGGCGAGCTAATATATTTGCTCAGGATCGGATATGTTCCTTTTCTTTCTTGATGTGAGTGAATTACCGCATTCACTGCAAAGACTGTATTCCAAAGAGGAACTGATAAATACAGCAAACTAAGCAGGATTTGAAATCACATTAACATCTTAACAAAACATTGAGTTGTTAACTATCCTAGCTAGTAAGTTTAACTCCTTGACTGATCAATTATGGGCTATAATGGTCAAAATGGTCAGTAATGAAATATAAGCAAAAGTTGCAACCAACTTGCCATTCTCAGTTTTCAATGCAGCAGTTGAAGAAGGTTCAGAATGAGAGACTAACTGTTCTCTCACTACTCCCAGAATCCATTTTTCTTCACATTTAGTCAATACATCGAAAAAATGGTATTATACCAGCCTTTATACGTATGCTATCTTTGTAAATCTTCAGATATCAATTAATTATGGGAATTTGCCAATATTGGTCTACTTGTGAAGCCATAAAAAAATCTAATGAAGCCACAAACAAGATCCATCAAATAGTTTAGTGCTTAGTTTCCATAATTTGTTTGCACCACTGTAAAAGCACAACATTATTTCTGTCAATCATATTTAATGATCTATGGTTAATAAATAATTTTTAGAACTAGTCAAGTCAAAGTTGTCAAAAATATTAATTATTGTTGTCTCATTTTCTAACTAAATGTGGGGAGGGGAAAAGTACTCATCGGAAGGGATTTCATTCAAGAGCAAATACTCAGCCCTTTTCAGTTAGTTTTTCAAAATTCCCATCAATAAAACACTTGTGCGCCAGCAGGCCCAGGTAGAGAAGATTGAAGTTACATTTCTGGTGAAGGGTTGCATCTGAAAACAATACTTAGAATTCTCTTTGAGATGTTTCTCTTTCTTGTATTTTCTACTTTTAAAGGAAGTTACGCTTGTTAAAATCCATCCTAAGCGATAAATCAAGTGGAAGAGAAACTCACAATGAAAGATGGGTTTTAAAATATCAGTGACTTTTTCCTCTCCGATCTTTTCCATTCTCAGTGAAGTGTACACCAGACATGCCTCATTATTACATCCATCTCAGTAAATACAATTCTGATAAAATGTGCTAACAAAATGAGAGCATATCACTACACCTCTAATCACATTCTAGACCCATTTGTGAATTGTTGACAACAGACACACAGGACTCTTTACTTTGCAGTTATTTCAACTCTAAATTCAAAATCTCTATGTAAACATGAGCTAAATCTGTATATCAAATTGAATCTGCAAAACTCTTTTCTTTTCAATCTAGATGTATATTTTACAAATATTAACTGCAGTTCAGAGGTACAGTGATAAGGTATTTCAGAAGTGACAGAATTAGTTTTATTGCCCAAACACTGAGGTGACCCATTCAAGGTCACTTCTGTAAGTAAGGGGGAGAATTATTTATCTGAGGTCCAAAAATCCAAGTCGTCAATACTTTATTAAATTCATGGATTTGATATTAAAAACAAGCAAAGAATACAAAATAAAGTCTGTTCTGTTGCTACTGAGGATGCGTGCATCGTGATGTGATTACTGAGACATGGTGGAAGTTGCTGGCTTGCAACTTGTTGGTGGCTCTTCAGCCCCTCTATTACTTTTGCTTTTCAAGTCAAAAGCAGAATGAAAATCCATTGTATTTCCCCGTACGCAATAAGATGCATGATACCGGATTCCCTGTTCTCTAACATAGCCTCGCCACAAGTCCCTCTCACTGACAAGGAGCCTTCTCCAGACGGTAAGGAATGGTGACCTCAACTACAAATCTTATCCCTGATCTCCATTAAAGGCACTTCATGCTCTTGTAGATCCACAGGAGAACAGTCTGTTTCACTGTTCAACTTAACCTGAAAACTGGCAAAACTGGTAGGAGATAGCTTCAAGTAACAAGCAGTTGAAAGAAGCACAACACTTATTCTAGCACTCAAGAGTTGCTCTACTACTGCTGGAGGATTCTGACCATGGATGCTGGTAATTGTGAATAGTTTGGGAATTAAGATAAATTTAAAGTGTGCGGGGAGATCTTCAGTGAACCTCACCAATTTGCAGAGAACACCCATTCAAGTAGTCAGTTCTAAGAACGCATCACCAAATTAATGTAATCATAAAGATCCTTCACTTCATCTGCAAATGGAAACAAAGCAAATACTTCACTCAAAATGTTCTAAACAGGAAACATTTCTTTTTACGTTCATGTGTCACTTCCATCTGTAAGGTAGGTTTTTGAAATGTTTTTTTGTGGACATGTTCCCCCAGGTCATTCTGTGGGCGATGGCTGAGCACAGGTTTTGCTGTGAAACACTTAGACATTTCTAAGCAATGGAGCATTATTTTTTGCCATTTTCTTCTGCGCTGTAACAAGTCTGTATGCAGCGCATCAGTGCTAAATGTCAGTGCCCATGAAATAGAATTTTGGCATTAAGGACTCTGAAAATAGACAATTCTGCTCCCTGGCAGCTGTCAACATGTGCTAATGAAATCCGGCATCAGCCTTTTTTTTTCTTTTGAAAGGAGATGGTATTTTGAGCATTTAATGTCTCTTTCAAGGCAAGCCCCTTATCAGTATGTTATGCTGGTAACAAAAGGGGGGACCTGGTCGGACTCTGTTAGCTAGCAGTTACAAAGTTGAAATCTCCAGTGTCGCGGACAATTGATGCTATTAAAATGCAAGTGTGTGGCAGTTAACTGAGCGACCCTGAGGTCAAAGCACTGACACCCAGGTCTCAATAAATATTGTATGAGGCTGTCAACACTATTGTCACCTCAGAGCTCCTGGACACAGTTAGACATATGGTAACTATTATTTACAGAAATGAAAAGGAAGAAATCATTTGTTTGAAAGTGAAAAGAGCGAAATCTGCTCACGCTCATTTACAGAGATGGTGGCGGTTGAGGGGGCAAAGAGGGTTGTTAAGAGCCAAGAAGAACAGAAACCGCTGATTTTGTCCCCCCAGTTATCTACAGGAATGCAAGAAAAAGGGATGTTTAACTAGGACAAAATGAAGTGCCACTACCAATAACGTCAGCTCAGAGAGCGACTTAGAGCTGAGGAAAACAAGGGTCGATGCTAAATGGAACACAGCTGACTTCAGACAACACACAGAAGGTCCCCAGCCAACAGAAGTATTTACCCCATCTGTGTCTGGTAGTGAAACTGAAATCTAATTACGTTTTCACCACAGTGTGTCACATCCCCATCAGCTCATAACAAAAGACCCGAGACAGCCCGAGGGAGTGTTGGGAGGGTATTAAGTTGGAAATGACTGTCAGTAGCCCAATATTTAAAGTTAAAAGAAAAAGAAAACAGGACCAAAAGAAAGTGAATTCCTAGTATTGGTTGAACTCTAGTCCATGACAGGAAATCATTGAACCTCATATATTCATCCTCACATGCATTAGGTCCCTATTGGTTTGAAATTGTCACATGCTGACAGTTTAGACATTATCTCCCAGCTGAAGACAAATGTTCCATCATCTCTTCTCTCCTCATTCTCTCCCCCTTCTCTATTACACATACAGCACTCATTCAAATGTGATCCCAAGTACTGAAACAAAATAAACTTAATTTCTTCACACAGTTTGCTCTCAGCACCTCTGCCACCGTCAAACTTTAAAAAGAAGTTTTACTCATACATTGCTCACCAGCTAAAAGGGCAAGCAAACAGGTGCAGACTCTTCAGAGAATTCCAATATATATCTGTCTCCACTGATAAGAAGCTTGCTTAGTCTGGGTGGGGAGAATATTTTGTGGGAAGTCATGTGGATGTCTCATTAAAATGAGTATGACAAGGATCCAAACACACTCAGTAATGCACAGAACACATTGTTCATGAAAACATACAATTTTTTCCTGAATACAGGAGTTGCTTTTCTTCCCAACCACCACCCCAAAAGATATTAGGTAAAATCTCCAGTGGCAATGCGACTTGCATAGCTAGAATCTTGCATCTGTTCAAAAAAACCTGTACGCTGTCCCTCAACTGCCCGCTACCATTAATTAACTTTTTTTTTAGCTTGTCCAAAGGTAATCAGGTTGCTGACGCCACTGATGAGAAAATTGCATCAAGGAGAGACCCAATCTCATCTAGGACCTGAACACATCAATCCTCAGTGTTCTAAGCTTTGATCTATTGAGAAAGCTGACCTGAGGAGACATGTTTTAGCCATTCAAAGCCAAGTTTTTTTTTATTAATGTGGCTTGCCATCTCCAAAGCATAAATGGGGGAATCAGAAGATACCAAAAGCATTTTAAAAGTAGTAGGATAAAGTATTGTGTAAGAATAAAGTATATTTAGTATTCTGAGTTAGTGAGAAAATGCAATGCCTTGTGTCATAATGAACCTTACAATGAACCCTATAGTTAAGGAAGGTCAGATGTTTGATCTCTGGCCTGCAGTAGGCAGCAGCTGAGTCACTGTATTTGCCTTGAATGTCCCTGGGCTAAGCAGAGAAAGGGAGAGGAGGATCAGGCTTGGCTGTTGCACCTGCCCTATAGTTGAATGACTTTACAGAAGCCAATATCCAAATGTTCTCATAAAGAATAACCAATTGGTAAGAATGACCGTCCGGCGTGAAGGGTGCTATATAAATGCAAGTTGTTGTTGTTGTACATCAGCAGGAATATATAGGTAAATAAGGAATTTCTCCCTACCAGAAGTTATTCAACTTTGTCACAATGAGCCTCTCTAAGCCAAGAAAAAAAACAATTGTGCCTCCTCGTAGTTCACCAAGACAACATAAAGAACCGAAAATCCTACATTCTGCAAGAATATGAGTAGAAGAGCTCCAATCAATACAGTAATACCTCACACGTTAGTTGTAATATTAAGAGATATCGAGCAGGAAAGATGCCAGTGGAAAACCTAGATTTACTGAACAAGTTCCTTGAGCTTTCCCCACAATCCAAAATATTATCTAGATGTCCAGAGCACGTAGGTAATTACAATTATTAGGCCATTCACAGTATGTTAGAACACAAACTTTTCATTTCACTTTTTTTTGTCAGTCAGATGTCTGACGCATGAGAAAACCCATTACAATGCTTATCCAAACCAAGCTGAGATTTCCATGCATCCCACCTACACATGGAAACTCAATGTGTAGCCAATGTCAGTAACAAGCCCTCCTGACCTGGGAATGCTTGGGTATAATAAATGATTTTTAAAAAAATATTCACACTATCCTCACATTTAAGAGTAAATTGTTTATATTCATCAAAAGATTAAATATTATAGATTTGATGGCTTACAAACTTTCCAAAAAANGTACAAAATGTACTCACTGGTTCATAATTTTATTGTAAAATTAGATCAAATGCTTCGCAATAAAAGTAAAGGTGAAATTTACTACAGCTCAATTAGAAAAAGCTAATTATTATGCTAACCACATGCCTGTTTTGTTTCCAAAGGGGAATTCAGAACTAATTACATGGCTAACAGAAAAAAACTTACATTTACAGTAGCTTTGGCCATTAATAAGTCTGCATTCAAATGTATAATAAAGCGTTACTACGTTAATTCCTCCATTTGAATGTCTCTAATTATTTCATTTTGATCATTTTTCTTTTTAAATGTATTTAAATTTTATTGCAGCAATTTATTTACTCGCATCTTAACTTCCAAAGGAGTCCAAATATACATGGCCCCTGCTAATTCAGTTTTCTTACCCAAGGTGCATCTGATCCACATTGAAATGCTCTGGGTGAACACTGTTCTGTGCTTTTCCTATGAGGTGTGAAAGGAAGTACCGCACACTCCTAATTTGAAAGCAGCTGTGAATCAAAGTGATTCAAATCAGTGCTGTCCAACGCTGTGTTTATAGTTGAGCCCTGAAGCTGTAATCTGGCTCTGCACTGTAAACCGGTGCCTCTTGAAACATCTCATCACCACATTTATACTTCAGGGCAGCTCGATGAACCATGAACCAACAGGAAAATGAATGCACATGCTCTCTTCACTTTCTACCCGCTACTTCTTCTGCCCTGCACCTGAGATTTGTTTCCTGCATTTACCTTCTTTGCCCTTCTTACTATCAGCACATCGAAAGAACAATGTACAAAAATGTATATTTCCATGCTTGTCCAGTAGAGGGATGATAGAAGAGGGAAACAATGGCTGCAACATTTCACTGCCGGCTGGGATGCAAGAATGGGATTCAAGAGAGGGCATTGCTTGCCAGTTTATATTGGTTTGACTCTAAATTCGAAATGGACCTTAGGAATACATTTTTTGTTATATTATGCTTTCCATACCAAATTTATACCCAAAGCAATGCAAGTTCAATGTAAAAATCCCCGTATGCAGTATGCTGAATCTCAATGCATTTAAACTCAATTACCTCTGTCGACACTCACCTATAGTTGTCGGGAGATGTAATGTCAGCACCTGCTGGATTGATACAATGCCCCGACTCCAATGTGCACAGTCATGACACAATGCACCTTGGAGCTGTATGGAGCTGTTCCGCAACAAACCACCAGCATGAATTTTACTTCTTGTTTTAGAAGATGAATAGGAAGGCATCAAAGTGTATGTGGCGAGGCAATACCGACTGCATGTACAAGCTGCTGCAGTTTCTTCTAAAATTCAGAGCCCAACCTCTCATTGACAACCATGGATCAATTTAGAATACTCTGAATTTAGTACATAGATACACATACACAGAGGTATTCCAAATTTCGAATAAAACAAAGTGCAGAATTATGGCCTCAAATATTACATGGCAAGTTCACAGGATGTGGCACTTCAATATCAACTGCACTCATACCAGACAGGTTGTTTTTTCTGCTTGGTAATGAGTTCCAATTCAGAATATAGCAGTAAGTAAGAAAAAGGAGTCCTTTACCTGGATGAATGAAACAGCCATATTTCCAATTCAGTTTCCAAATGGGTTTACTGTGCCCTTCCCGACACACAGACACATTGGACTAACTGTATAATCAAATACAATGCAAGTGCGGCTATGCTTCAGGGACAGTGTCAAGTGAACAGAGGACGTGATTACATTTAGTTAGGATCAGTAGATCCGTTCTGAATTTGGTCTGCTGTGTAAATGGCGATGAAAAAGAATATGAGTTGGCCATTATAACGGTAACAAATTAACCCAAACAAGCCTTAGCAAACTAGCATTGTAAACTCATTCCTTACATCTTCCTTAAATCCCAATCTCCACAGGTTACAAAGATGGAATTGACATTAGGATCCAGCAGACCTTCGTTTTTCATCCACTCATCAACCATCTGTGAAGATAAAAAGGATCAATGATTAAATAAAATTAAGTTACATCCAATTTCAGAGGATGAGAGTGGTTAACTAAACTTTACTCAGTACTATGATGTAATGCCCCATTTGTGCTTTGGTCTGTCCCGCAGAAATCAATAGCAGACCATAATATCCAGCTTACATAAATGATATTTAGCAAATGGGTTAAAATCAGCACAAAGGTTAATTTGGTATTGTGGGAACATGGGATCAGGAGTAAGACATTTGGTCGTTGAGCCTGCTGCTAAGCTATTTTATTAGATTGTGGCAATTCTTTATATTAATCCCATTTCCCTGCTCTTTCTCCATATCCCTTATTACCCTTATGGCACAATACCCTGCACAATTAATATGAATTGATCGGATAGTGTCGCTGTATAAGACTGCTTTCAGGAAAGAACAGTTCTGGAACATTGAGAAATAGCCTGTTCCAAAATTGCACATCATGTTGTATAATCTTTGAAGCAGACATCTCCACATTGGGAACCCTGACATCCCACCACCAAGCTGTTAAGATGCCCCTCCTTAACCATATTCGCCATGACGTTCAGGAAGTCATTCAAAAATAATTTCTTACAAATACGAAACTGAAAATACTCATTATTCCAGGTGGCTCTAGTTGACTTCAACTTTTTGGTGAACATTAGCAAGATCACATTTCCACAAGTAGCATTTAGGAATTATTTAGATACCAATGCTATTTTGTTGTTTTAGTTTTGTGAATTTTTTCCCCCTTCATTTATAACCAAAACATTATTTTGTAATCAGACAAATCAAAATTAGATTAAATTTGTAAATCAACAACAACAACTTGCACTTATATAGCGCCCTCCACGCAGGGCAACCTCTCAGAGTGCTTGAAATCAGATCAATATCAATACTTATTTTTTCCAATTTCAAGGGATCCATCATATCCCAGCCTCCTATTCTGCCACAAGTTCATTCTGTTAGAAGAACAGAGTAGTCTTGGTCAGACTGAAGCCACTGTCAAAGCCTTTCCATCAAAAAGGCCTGCAGAATGTCCAATAATAGATACAGGATCAATCCTGCCAGTTTATCGTTAATAAGTTTATCAAAGGCAATTGTTACTACATTTCAGATGAGCTTTTAACTTAATTTTGACATGAAATTATTATGCAAACATACAAAGTACGTAACAGGATAAGTAAAAATGTCAAGCCTATGAATATACTTGAAAAAACGTAAAATATAATATTCAAGTCAATATTCAACATGATTCAGCTTTAAAAGAAGACCTGGTCTGCTCAGTCTAATCTCCCCCAGTATTTGGATGGAATCATGAACTCTGCCTTTTGCAAATGAACATTCTGAGTCAATTGCTGACCGTTAGCAAATATGTGCTGTTGGCAGGCAGGGCCTGCACAAAAAAGATCAATGGTTCAATACAATTCCCCGAATTGTCATGGTTTTGATAGAAAATGTCAGTCTGATGAAGCCATAATCATAGCTAAATAACTGAGGTCAAATGACACAGGTCAAAAAGGTCTAGGGTTAGAGATCATTTTGTTCACCTGGAGGGCTCGCTGCAGTGTCGGCTGCCCATCCACCATTGACTGCACAATCCCCGTGAGCTACAAATGAAAAAGAAGAAAAACCTTGTTACAAACATGATTAAACTGCAATTATATGGCTGATGATTGAGTGATTTTGAGCACTTCGCGACAGCGATATCTTCAATTATATTTTGGTACAGAATATGCTGAAGTAGGATTGTAGACACCTAGCTCAGTAATTCCACAAGTAGGTTAGCATGATATCTTGGTATATATTGTAGATGCAAATCCACAGAAGAAATGTATCTATTTTAAATTGTGCAAACCCAAATATAGCCTTCGATGAAAAAAGTTCCTTTTGTTTCATCGATTCTCAAATCTTAGCCTAAATTTTAAATGCTCAACATTTACGCATTTTCCTCTCTCTGTCAAAGATACTGCTCAGTGAGCTGCTGAGTTATGGCATCATATGTTGAACAGATTGTTGTGGGGAATGTGGCTGGTACTGACAGTAATAGGCCATCAGGAGAAACAATAACACACTGGATAGAAACAGTGACAGCAAAAATGACCTCTGGTACATCAGTATTTTTGTCAGAATTGTAAGGATTAAATTGTGGACAAATATTGATGGGTTAGAAGTGTAAGTGCAAATGTTAAAACTCCTCTTCTCAGTATTGTACTTGTCTTCGTCAGTTCAATGTATTATGTATAAAGTCACTAATCTAGAGAATAAAAAAATTTGTTAACAAACTTAAAGTAAATCCTCCGGACTATAAACCCACTCGTACTCTGGTGAATGTTGGGATCTTTCTTCAACAACAACAAGATTACATCTGTATAGTGCCTTTCACGTCGGGAGGACGTCCCAAAGTGCTGGACAGTGTACAGCATTTCAGACCCGACCTGGGGTCAGGGAGGGAGAAGGGAGGGGTAGGGAAGGGGTGTGACCGATGGCATGGTTGATGTGAGAGATTCAAGGTGAGAGATGTCTGTGTTGTGAAATAGAAAATTTCTAAATTAAGCACTCCTTATTCCGTGCTGAAACATTGTGCATCAACCCCACAATCCTTGTGGTTTCTCTGAGTGACGTCAATTTAGTGGCAATTTTGGGGCAGTTTTGTATTCTGGACCCTGGCCTGGTTCAGACCAGCCAGACTCATTTTGTTTTCAAAGCTCACACAAGAATCATAGAAGCAGGATCAATCTGATCTCAATTAATCTGACCCAGCTTCCAAATCTGAAAAAAACATGTGCGATTCATTTCCCCTCCCTCTTACACACAGGATAGTTTTGAACGATAACTGTTAACATAAAATCCAGTGATCAAAATCCATCTGTAACTTGCATTTGATTCCCAAGTCATATTGTTCTCCTCACATAAATTGTTCCACTAAACTAATATGTTGAAGATCAAGTGAGGGACGAGGTTGATATTCAACTTGTGTCATTTTTGAATCATCCTCTGGGAGCAGTTTGCAAAATTGCCATTAAGGAGGGTATATGATTTACTCTAAAAGCTATGGTTTTGAAATTTATTTCTCTTCCGTTTTTCCTTTTTGAAGGAAGTTTATTCTCTCTCCTCATTCATATCCAGATTATTTCCCTCTCTTTTTGTGCAGACAATGTGAAGTTTCATCTCACCTCAGCATATTTTGATATATTTCAACAGGTCCAGTCAAAATTAGAAACTCAGTGTGTGAAACATTTCAGACAACAAACCTAACATTTTCAGGCACATCTCACTGTTATAGCAACATATTGCATCTCCTGGGGAGGGGGAACAGGCAAAGGGTCACAAGGTTAGCACTGCTCTCTCTCTCTCTCTCTCTCTTTTAAGACGACTGTAAATGAATCACTTTTTTTTTGTGGTGGGGGGTGGGGGAAATTCGAGGGGATTATCATCAGCGATGTTACGTGCGATTAAATCAATGTGTTTGCAGAACCTGCTGATTAACAGTTATTTTTTTTTTTGGGGGGTGGTGGTGGGGGGTTCAAATTCTGGAGCTGAAAAACAAAATGATCCAAAACGAGAACCATCGCGTTTATGGACCTGTTTGTCCTCCAGGTTTTGACGGAGGAGAGAAACTTCTCGTGTGACTGAAAGTGGCATCAAAGTTCAATGATATAAGTGTATATTTCTGGTGATGTTTCAGGATCTTCGTTCCCTTCTGCTCCCAAAGAAGCTCTGGGAAACTGGGTTTCTCTTTAGGTGTCTGCACTGGAGTCGCTTGTGTTTTCTCTTGTATCCCATCCTCCCCATTAATAATAATAATCCTCGCATTTGTTACAGCGCTTTTCACGTCGGGAGGACGTCCCAAAGCGCTTCACAGAACACACTGTAAAGTGAATTGACTGTATATTTGTGGGCGAACGCGGCAACCAATTGCGCACAGCAATGTCCCACAAACAGTCGTGGGTTGAAAATGACCAATTTATTATTGTTTTTAGTTTTGGAGGGATTATTATTAGGCTCTGTGTGCAGTAAGGAAACTTGCCCAAGGTTTGGCCCTCTGCCTGGAATTGAACTCAGGTCTCTCACTTGCAAAGCGAGTGCTCTAACCACTGAGCTACAGGACTCCATTCCCACTGTAAACGCTGACCTGAATTGGTTGGTCATCTCTCTGTTGGACTCCGCCTGGGGTACAGAACCTACTTCCTCAGGTCTGCTATATGCCATAACTTTTAGTTGTGTGATTTTTTTAAAACTTTTTTTTTAAAAAAAAGTCGTTAGTTACAAGAGCAAAATCCTCAGGGTCTGGCTTAGTTTTGCAAATGGTTTTAATAGACACTTTTTAAAAAATATTCCCAAATAGGGACACCTTGAAATCAATCAAGTCGGGTACAGTCGCTGGCCATACCGTGTTAAATCACAGCAGTGTGAGTGAAGCACCACTTGTCAAACTGTATCAGAGCTCTGGGTCCCTCTGCTTGCCCCCAGATTAAAAATGTCTGATGTCACAACAGCACATTTGTTAACCTGTTTTTCAGCAATGTTTTATTTAAAATCAGTAGAATTCATTCGCGCTTCATATGGCTGATTGAATTATATCTTACTGATTTTAGCACAAACAAACGGTGAACTAACTAAGGCAAACCATTCCTTTAATCCTGAAAGGTCCAAATATTGGAAACTTTATTGTTTGTTATTGTACAGCAGGGAATTTCCTCTAGTGTTATCCACCTTTGTACAAAAGTGCACTTTGCTTAACATTTGACTACTAGCTGCTTAATTATCAATTGACACGAGTGTATAGATACAATAAATATATTTGTGCTAACGTGAAGAAAATTTCAAATCCCAGTTTATTCTTTGATCAAGGAGTAGGCAATTATTGAATACTGAACTCGCCTCACATTTATATAGCGTGAGAAAGTTTCTTTGCCATTTCCGTTTGTAGACTGTCAACTACTTTCCTTGTTAATTCCAAGAACAGTTATTAACAAATGACCCTTCTCCCATCACCAGCCTTGACTTTAAAAATGGGAGGAACTGAGGGAAAGAAAATGTGGAAATGTTTATAGAGTATCTATTGATTGCCGATAGTGTGTTCGACCAGTAATATTGAGACTACTTAGACCATCTGGATGTGTGCAGCTCTTACCAATTGGAGACCTGTATCTTATTGCTCCCGATTGATCAGATTGTAAATGTATTGCAACCAATGAAGTTGGACTTGGGAAACCAAAATATTCTGTTTTTTTTGGATGAAAATGCAATAATTGAATAACATCTAAATTCAGAGAACCGATTCTCTGTGAGGAAATAGGAGAGGTGGGAACTGCCAACACATGGCAAGTTTTCCCAACTCAGTTATCTAGAGAAAGAGAGGTTAGGTACTTCCACACAAGAATGGAAAAACATACATATCAGGAGGAAGAATGAAAATGGAATTGATCTCTAAACCCGTAGCAGATAGCAATTGGCAGAAGTCTGGAAGAAGATTCTCTCAAAACACAAATGGATGAAAGAGACTTCGCCTTGGAACGTCTTCCCGACGTGAAAGGCGCTATACAAATGTAATATTGTATTGAATCTGGAGACAATATAGGTATTTAATTATTCAACCAGCAGTTTTACACTTGTAACACAGTAAGATTTTGTTTTTTGGGTTGGGGGGGGTGGAATCAGAAAATCACTTTAATTTACTAATCGTAGTAGCCAACCTAATAAAACCTGATCTGGACCAAATATGCTACTGATCAGTTCATTGGAGAATGAGAAACCTAAAGGAATTTATCATTTTCAAATGAAACAAACAGCTGTTGGAGCCATTTCACTGAATCATGAAAGCAGCTTACAAAATCCATTAACAATCCAAAGATTCTTTGGAATTGGACGCCCTATTTGTGTGTAAATTCTGTAGGGGGAAATCAATAAAGAGCAAAATCAACATTCAGTCTGAGAAAGTAATTTGATGTTTTGATATCTGAACAGAGAATAGTAAGGGTTTCTTATTTTAGTAAACTGTAAAGCACTGCCTGTTTGCCACATCCGTGGGGTAACCAATTCCTACATTCTCAGTAATTATACTGTACTCGCTACAAATTATTTATTTTGCTGTCTGCTTTTCAAACAAAGATAAAGGAGATGGGCTAAGTCAACCTGAAAAGTGTTAGCTGTTTAATACTTAGGTACCACAGCTAATTTTATGTCGTCTATAAACCATGCTATCACTCCTGATCCATCAGCAATGAGTTGTAATAACCTGATAGAAATTTGTAAGCAAAAGTAAACTGATTTAAAAGCAAATTCTAAAACCATTTCAGAATGTTGTTTAATTCCTTGAAACCACTGATCTCTGCATAGAGACTGTATCGTTTTGATTTAACATGTGCAGAAGTACTCAGCTGATGTCTTTTTGTTCTTGTATGGAAAGGAAGTCTCAAGAATTAAGTTCCAGTAAAGACATTTTGTCTCAAAGTGATGGTATGACATTATGCATATCTTCATGAAAGTGCTCCGTGATGCCGTCCAGTGTGAGTTGTTATTGTTGTATGCAGAGAAACGGTGGAAACGGGAGTAATTGCAGGAAGGCAATCCAATAAAGGGGTTAAAATTATATCAATCAAACTTA